CCTCTCAAACAATTCTGTGTCCCTGAGTAACAATTCTGTGTCCCTCTGTAACAATTCTGTGTCCCTGAGTAACAATTCTGTGTCCCTGAGTAACAATTCTGTGTCCCTGAGTAACAATTCTGTGTCCCTCAGTAAACAATTCTGTGTCCCTCCCTCAGTAACAATTCTGTGTCTGTCCCTGAGTAACAATTCTGTGTCCCTGAGTAACAATTCTGTGTCCCTGAGTAACAATTCTGTGTCCCTCAGTAACAATTCTGTGTCCCTCAGTAACAATTCTGTGTCCCTCAGTAACAATTCTGTGTCCCTGAGTAACAATTCTGTGTCTGTCCCTGAGTAACAATTCTGTGTCCCTCAGTAACAATTCTGTGTCCCTGAGTAACAATTCTGTGTCCCTCAGTAACAATTCTGTGTCCCTGAGTAACAATTCTGTGTCCCTCCCTGAGTAACAATTCTGTGTCCCTGAGTAACAATTCTGTGTCCCTGAGTAACAATTCTGTGTCCCTGAGTAACAATTCTGTGTCCCTCAGTAACAATTCTGTGTCCCTGAGTAACAATTCTGTGTCCCTGAGTAACAATTCTGTGTCCCTGAGTAACAATTCTGTGTCCCTCAGTAACAATTCTGTGTCCCTCAGTAACAATTCTGTGTCCCTCAGTAACAATTCTGTGTCCCCTCAGTAACAATTCTGTGTCTGTCCCTGAGTAACAATTCTGTGTCTGTCCTGAGTAACAATTCTGTGTCCCTGAGTAACAATTCTGTGTCCCTGAGTAACAATTCTGTGTCCCCCTCAGTAACAATTCTGTGTCCCTGAGTAACAATTCTGTGTCCCTCAGTAACAATTCTGTGTCCCTCCCTGAGTAACAATTCTGTGTCTGTCCCTGAGTAACAATTCTGTGTCTGTCCCTGAGTAACAATTCTGTGTCCCTCAGTAACAATTCTGTGTCCCCTGAGTAACAATTCTGTGTCCCTGTCAGTAACAATTCTGTGTCCCTCAGTAACAATTCTGTGTCCCTCAGTAACAATTCTGTGTCCCCTGAGTAACAATTCTGTGTCCCTGAGTAACAATTCTGTGTCCTCCTGAGTAACAATTCTGTGTCCCCCTGAGTAACAATTCTGTGTCCCTGAGTAACAATTCTGTGTCCCCCTCAGTAACAATTCTGTGTCTCCCTGAGTAACAATTCTGTGTCCCTGAGTAACAATTCTGTGTCCCTGAGTAACAATTCTGTGTCCCTCAGTAACAATTCTGTGTCCCTCCCTCAGTAACAATTCTGTGTCTGTCCCTCAGTAACAATTCTGTGTCTGTCCCTGAGTAACAATTCTGTGTCTGTCCCTGAGTAACAATTCTGTGTCCCTGAGTAACAATTCTGTGTCCCTCAGTAACAATTCTGTGTCCCTCAGTAACAATTCTGTGTCCCCCTCAGTAACAATTCTGTGTCCCTCAGTAAAAATTCTGTGTCCCCTGAGTAACAATTCTGTGTCTGTCCCTGAGTAACAATTCTGTGTCCCTCAGTAACAATTCTGTGTCCCTCAGTAACAATTCTGTGTCTCCCTGTAACAATTCTGTGTCCCTGAGTAACAATTCTAACGTTCTGTGTCCCTAGTAACAATTCTGTGTCCCTAAGTAACGGTTCTGTGTCCCTAAGTAACGGTTCTGTGTCCCTAAGTAACGGTTCTGTGTCCCTAAGTAACGGTTCTGTGTCCCTAAGTAACGATTCTGTGGCCCTAACTCTGTCCCTCAATACAGACAGGTGGTCTGTCTCTCTTGAATGACTGGAGGCTAATGGAGAATTCTAAAATGGCCGCATTTTATAGCTCGACCATTACACAGTGCTGGCTGCTGATTGGCTAATGCGATCACATGTCATGAATGAATGCATTATGGGTCAGCGCGCCTTCACAGAGATCCCCGCTCCGTCGCCGCACATGTCGCCGCCATTTTTGGAAAAATTTTGATTCGCGCATCCGAAGTCTGCTAATTTTCGGATTCGGCGTGAATCGAAATTTTCCTAATATTCGAAACGAATTCCACTTCGCCAAATTCGATTCGCTCGCTCATCTCTAGTGACCATATGTGGTCAAACCTCTAGAGATTATCCTGGTTTATGAAACACAATGCGATATATGACCACTTTAATGGAGGTAATATAGGTCTGGTGAGTGAGCCATTCGTTTGCCTTTACACCGAGGTGTGGACACATGTCACCATTTTTGAGGTCTAAGAAGGACTGTCACACTTTGAATTTACTCAGCACATGGTGGAAGCACAAGAACGTTCTATGGAAATAGGATTACTTAACTATTGCCTTTATTGTTTTGTACATTGTTTGGTTTGTGAATTGCTTGATATCTATTATTCCCTCACAAATAGTCACTATTTAGTCATCCTATTGGGTTTATAGGGTGCATTCATACACATTTTATTTTATTTCTTTAAGTACAGCACCTGGTTATTCACTACCAATCCACATACAAGTGCTGTTTCCACTTTTTAGGGGCAGCTGTAAAAATAACCCCTAGGGGGTTAACCAATTAATCAACACCACTCTCATTTGGCGCCATAATAATTTATCTTTGTGATGATGAGATCTGCCTGCACAGTACAGATAAGGTTAATTATAGCAAACACAGCTGCCAAGCCCCCTTATAAACAAAGAGAGCTATGTAGGATTTTACCAGAATGATCCAGAATAGAGCATCTCAAAAAGGTAAGCTGCATTTAAAATGTTTTTCAAAGATATGCTATTTGCATGAGAACATGTAACAAATATAAATCAGGTGTTATCCCAATTTGGCTGCAAAAAGTGGAAATACACTTTAACTAGTTGCCGACCGCAGTTAGCCGAATGACGGCTGCACTGCGGCCGGCCAGTTCTGAGTGGACGTCATATGACGTCCTCCCAGAACGCGCTCTCCTGCGCGCCCCAGGGGGCGCGCACCCAGCGATCTCCGTGATCGCTGTGTGTCCTACGGGACACAGCTGATCACGTGATGTGGTAAAAGGCCAATCACAGCGGCCTTTTACCACGTGATCAGCGGTGTCCAATGACACGCTGATCAGAGGGAAATGCAAGTGCTGGTTCTCGGCTGCACTTTCCTCACGCTGTCAGATCGTGAGGAAAGTACTGCCGAGAACCGGCAGTTGTCAGAGCGGGGATCGGCACCGATCATCAGGGCACTGATGATCAGTGCCCTGATGATCGGTGCCCAGCAGTGCCACCCGCAAGTTCCGCCCACCTGTGCCCAGCAGTGCGCCCACTAGCTCCGCCCACCTGTGCCCAGCAGATCACCCACCTGTGCCCAGCAGTGCACCCACCTGTGCCACTCTGCAGTGTCACACCTGTGCCCAGAAGTGCCACCTACCTGTGCCCAGCAATGCCACCCACCTGTGCCCACCAGTGCCACCCACCTGTGCCCACTCACCAGTGCTGCCCACCAGTGCCACCCACCAGTGCAGCCCAGCAGTGCTGCCAGTCAGTGCCACCAGTCAGTGCCCAGGGGTTGTGCCAGTCAGTGCCGCCAGTCAGTGCCCAGCAGTAATGCCAGTCAGTGCCGTCTATCAGTACCCATCATCAGTGTCACCTATCAGTGCCGCCTATCAGTGCTGCATATTAGTGCCGCCTATCCGTGACACCTCATTAGTGCTGTCTATCAGTGCCGCCTATCCGTGCCACCTCATTAGTACTGCCTATCAGTGCCCTTTAGTGCTGCCTATCAGTGCCCATCAGTGCCGCCTATCAGTGCCCATCAGTGCTGCCTCATCAACACACATCAGTGAAGGAGAAAAAATACCTGTTTGAAAAATTTTATAAAAGAAACAAAGAAACTTTTTTTTTTTTTTCAAATTTTTTGCACTTTTTTTATTTATAGCGCAAAAAGTAAAGCACTCAGTGGCGATTAAATACCACCAAAAGAAATCTCTATTTGTGAGAAAAAAATGATCAAAATTTCATATGGGTACAATGTTGCATGACCTCGCAATTGTCAATCAAAGTGCGGCAGCGCTGAAAGCTGAAAATTGGCCTGGTAAATAAGGGGGTATAAGTGCCTGGTAGGCAAGTGGTTAAATGATAACCCCATTTGGTGGAGGAGGAATGAAGAGAGAGATAACAGATTCACAAACAGTTCTGCTGGCTGGACACACAATACAATCTGGCGCAAGGGTCGTGGAGCAGTCAAATGATTAGCACACGCTTCTGAGATTCCCCAAACTATCCTGAGAGCTAGAATCCTTGTGTTATCATTTTTTCCACTGCTACAAGCCACATGACTTAAGCTGGCCATACTTCATTCAAGCTTTCAATGAGTGTGTGGCAGTCCCTGCTCGACAAAAGTCAGTCAAAGGGGACGTGTTGGAAAATAGTTTTTTGATCAGCAGTGTCTTCTAGATTACGTGTATTTGTGAATACACCCCGATCCTTGTAGGAGTATTTACATGTACACAGCTAGATCTGATAGTTCCTACACAAAAGAGGGAGTTCCAGCTGCAATATACATTTATTGATAGAGTTACATAATATATATAAATTACACGCTAAGCAGTATGTACAGTTTAAGTCCCTTGGCTTATATGATATTTACAATTTACCTCCAAAACCATGTTTAACCTCTAGCCTACCGGGCACTTATACCCCCTTCCTGCCCAGGCCAATTTCCGGCTGTCAGCGTTGTCACACTTTGAATAAAAAAATTGCACGGTCATACAACATTGTACCGATATGACATTTTTATATTTTTTTTTGTGACAGATAGAACTTTATTTTGGTGGTATTTAATCCTCTCTGGGGTTTTTATTTTTTCTTAAAAAAAACAAAAAAAACTGAAAATTGTGAAAAAAAGTTTTTTCTTAGTTTTTGTTATAAAATTTTGTAAACAAGTGATTTTTCTCCTTCACTGATATGCGCTAATGAGGCTGCAGTGATGGGCACTGATAGGATGCACTGATGGGCACTGATGAGGCACTGGTAGGTGGCACTGATGGGCATTGACAGTCATCACTGATGGGCACTGAAAGGCAGCACTGATACATGGCACTGATATATGGCACTGATAGGCGGCACTGACTGGCACTGATAGGCGGCACTGACTGGCACTGATAGGCGGCACAGATGCGCACTGACTGGCACTGATAGGTGGCACTGATTGGCAGCACTGATAGGTGCCACTGATTGGCATTGATGGGTGACACTGAAAGGCAGCTCAGATGGGCACTGATATGTGGCATTGATGTGCACTGGTAGGCACTGATATGTGGCATTGATGTGGCACTGATGGGCACTGGCACGAGGCACTGATGAGCACTGACACAAGGCACTGATGGACACTGACAGGTGGCGCTGCTGGGGCTACACTGATCATCAGGGCACACTGATCATCAGTGCCCTGATGATCAGTGTACATGTCCCCTCCGCAGAAAGCCGATTACTGGATCTCCTCTCGAGCTGTCAGTGTAACAGCTCGAGAGGAGAGAAATGCCGGTAACAGGCATTTCCCTATTTACATGTGATCAGCTGTTATTGGACACAGCTGATCACATGACCAAGCCAACATCTTTGGCTCTTTCCGTGATCGGTGATCCGCTGTGTCCGAGGGACACAGCGCACCGCCGATCGCCGCGCTGCGTGCTCCCTGAGCTGTGCATGCGCGGTGAGAATGGGAGGATGTCATATGATGTCCTCCCAGAACGAGAGAACCAACTTGCGTCCGTCATATTACTATATGGCGGGTGGGAGGTGGTTAAAATACAATGTACAATACAAGTATGAAGTTAGTTTACCTCTCAACTTCAGGACTGGTCATGCTGCCTGCTGTGTGTCCCAACACCAAGAGACCCACATCTGGGTGACCAGGCCTTATATCCCCCCTCCTTTCTGTACTGTGGCTAATATAATGCTCCCTAATTGGACACTGTACCTAACAAAAACTTTCTGCTCTTGTAACTCCCTGTGGGTTGAACTTAAATCTCAAACAATGGTATCAGCTTTTCCATCCATCTTCTGTGAACTACAAGGCAATTCCCCTTTACATAATGGAAATAAGGAGTACGGGTGGTGTTTGTAATTCACATCAAGAGAGCAACTGCTCCTGCATAGATACAGTGCAATGAGCGAGTGCTGTCATCCTAGGTGAAGTTTGCTATTGTATTTAATGCTTTGTTTTGTTATACTTTTATGCTAATTTTGGTGAGCACAACCGTTATAAAAAACATTTTATGTCTTATCCCCCTGTGCAAGTAATGTTTTTGTAACCCTTCAAAAGTAATTTATGTACCAATATAGGGTAAATATATGCGCCTTTTAAATGAAAACTAAACAAAAACTTCCCTTACCACGCTGATGGTTCTAGACTGTTTTGCCAAATTACTAAAGATTTCACATCTTAGTTGATTATAGACTTACTCTTATTTTTGTTGATGGAAAACGAAGTTAAATTATGTCTTATTTTAAGCATGCCTCGGTTACAATAATATCATTATCTTGGATTTCAGATGAACTTAATTAAACTCTAATGAACAAAATTGGTTGTTTTATGTAATTAGAGTGCCATTTAGCTAGGAAAGGAGTAGATAGGATGGTAATTGTATCTGTCACAGTGGAACTCAGTAGTTCTTCTTTTGGAATCATACTCATCATTCTGCTCTCCTGTGGTAATAAGATTTGTCAAGGATCATAAGGGTCCTTGAACTTTTATCACCGGCGTCCTGCTGGGACCCTTGAAGGTTGATCATCTTTAATCATATGGAATACAGACTAATTAGGCAGCTTTAGGCAATCCTAAAATGTTTTCAGAAACAGAAGACTGAATACTGGCTTATTTTACATGCATATTTTTACAGGCAATGAAACCATGAGGAACTTTCTGATACAAAATATACCGTATTTTCCGGTGTATAAGGCGACTGGGTGTATAAGACGACCCCCTATTTTTCCAGGTAAAACATAGGTTTTGGGCTATACTCGACGTATAAGACTACCCCCCTTCAGAGGCAACACCATTTAAAAATATCAGATTTTTTTAATTGAAATGGTTATGACTTACCGGTATTTAAAATCCTTCAATTAATCTGTCATAGGGACATTTGTTTTGAGCCAACTTGGCTCAGCACAGTATACTGTATGTACAGTATTACCACACATCCAGCCAGCTTGACCCAAACAAACTCAAGGTTCACATTTTATACCCCGCATATAAGACGACCCCCAATTTTTGGAGTATATTTTTAAGTATAAAAAGTAGTCTTATACGCCAGAAAACTACTGTGTGTGTGTGTGTGTGTGTGTGTGTGTATATGTGTGTGTGTGTGTATATATATATATATATATATATATATACATATATCTTTAACAAGGATTGCCATCTTGCATAATGTTTGGTTCAAATAAGATAAGTGTACTCTTACTGCCACTTTGTAACATGCACATAAGGTCCTTTAAGTTGTAATGAAACTGTAAAAAGATTTGTCGTCATTGACGTGCCCCTTGTGGCCTGTGGTTTGTGAAGTGACCTCCTTCTCTGTCCTATGAAAAACCAGTCCACATGGGAAAAGTGAATGCCTCTGGCTCAATGTCTTAAAGATATTTTGAAAAGGACAAAGGTACTCAATAAGATCAGTATGATATGTTGGAAGAACAGGGGCAGATATCAGGAATTTTGAAAGATGTGGTCCTGAACAAGGGCATGTACAGTATAACTCTATGTTCACATGACTTGTACTTTAAATATCAAATATGTAATATGAAATAACAAATGGAATGTGTTCTCATTATATTATACTTTATTTGCGTTATTCCAGTGACAGGTCTCGGTGGATTTCTATGAGTGCCTATTGAATAAGTTTAATTAAGCACTGTTTGACACTATGGTTAAAACATGAAATGAATAAAAAATAAAAAAGGACCAAGGTCAAAATAGGCTATGGGCTTTAAAGCATAAGATGTGTAAAGCAGGCAGCAGTCCTTGACCAATAGTTCTCAGCTACCTGTAATGTTGCTCTAGGCATCTTCTCAACAGATGCTCAATGTGGCCACTTTTCACTTACGAATACATTTCAGCTATAGCTTCTATTTTTTAGTTGTAACCTATATCAGTTGGATTAGTCACTCAAACTTCAACACATCCGTGCTACTGTGGATTCAGACCTTTATTCACAATACATGAACATTGTTTCAAAAGAAATGTACCAGCAGCAAGAATGCCGCACACTGGAATGCAAAATAATATTGTTCCTTTGTTAAAATAGTCATCAGGAACAAGTTCTCTTCTGACATATTTTGCATTAGGCACTGGACTTTCTCAAAGAAGTAGTCGAGAAAGTGCTGTGCTAAGCACGAAACATGTCAGAATAGAACTTGTTTCTGCTGGCTATTTTAATACAGGAAGAATATTATTTTGCATTGCAGTGTACGACATTCTTGTTGCTGGTACAATTGATTAGTTCAGTGCAGACCTGAGATGTATTTGTGGCATGCAATGCCTGATCTCACCTGGAGAAGCATGTGAAATATTTGACATTGTTGTAAAATAGTATAGAACCGCAGTACAGAGGACCCATTTTATTAATGTAATGTATTCTGATCTTATTTGTTTTTTTTTACATTTTATATGCCGCAGGAGGGGTTAAAAAATAATGTACTGTAGCAATCTGGAGAGTGCCGTTGATTGGTGCACTGTGTGTGTGGGGTGGAATGTCAGAGAGAGCTGAGCCGCTGCTTTATGTGAGAGAGCAGCAGTCTGTCTAGATTGCTGCAGTATTTTAACTCTTACTGCAGTACTTAAAGCAGAGTTCCAGTCTCCTCGGTACATTTCTACAAAAAGCACCCCTGTGATTCTCTTCAGTTTGTGGTATATAATTAGAATAGTGTTCTAAGTGTATGTGACATTCCTCAGCCGGATCCCGGCAGACAGGCAGCGGCCATTACTAGTGTGGGCATCTGAAGCCAGCTCCCCACTTTCTTCTGGGATTCAGTGCAGCTGGCTACCCAGCATGCACCTCCTGATCTCACGCTTGCGCTGTAAGAACACAGCATGGCACACTGTGTTGTTTGTAGGTGTCAGGGCTCCCAGGTGTGACCAGAGGTGTGTGGCTGACGCAGGGAAACGCAGACCTCAGATATGTTATAAACAATATAATTTATTAACACTAACAATACAAACATAAACGCAGTGCAATACTAAAACATAATACAGTGCAACCAAACCAAACCAACCACCCACAGATAACAGTACATACAAGCAAGCGTCGTCAGGCAGGCCGGGTCAATATCAATAGGGCAGGTAGGTACAGGGGGAGCAAGCGGAGATTGGTCGGGGTCACAGGCCAGGTTCAGCAGGTAGCAAGCAGCGTAGTACAGAGGGTCAGGCAGAGGGAATGGTCAGGGTCACAAGCCAGGGATCAGAACAGGTAGCAAGCAGCGTAGTACAGAGGGTCAGGCAGAGGGATGGTCAGGGTCACAAGCCAGGGATCAGAACAGGTAGCAAGCAGCGTGGTACAGAGGGTCAGGCAGAGGGATGGTCAAGAGCTAGCCGGGATCAGAGCAGGAGAAGTCAGCAGCGGTTCAGAAACAGGATGCAGGACAGACACAGGATACAGGGCCCAGGACAAACACAACACCAAGGCCGAGTCTGTGGGTCTGGCCATCCCTTAAATACCCCAGCATAATCAGTTCCAGGTGTTAGCTGGCTGCAAAGTTGAGTCTCTGATGGCTGGGAGCATCCGCTGGCCAGCCCTGGTACTGCAGATCAAAAGGCAGGTGAGTCCCACCATTGCTGGCCAGTCCATTCCTGACAGTACCCCCCCCCCTCAAGGAGCGGCCTCAGGACTCTCCAAACAGTCCTAGCTGGGAAAAATGTTCCACCACCCGGGTCTGGTAAACTGGCGGGATATCAAAGACTGGCACACCGGGCAGGACTCCGGGCAGCGGTACACCGGGCAGAGGCACATCGGGCTGGACTCCGGGCAGAGGCACACCGGGCAGAGGCACACCGGGCAGAGGCACACCGGGCAGAGGCACATCGGGCTGGACTCCGGGCAGAGGCACACCGGGCTGGACTCCGGGCAGAGGCTGCACACCGGGTAGAGGCACATCGGGCTGGACTCCGGAGAGAGGCACATCGGGCTGGACTCCGGGCAGAGGCACATCGGGCTGGACTCCGGGCAGAGGCACATCGGGCTGGACTCCGGGCAGAGGCACATCGGGCTGGACTCCGGGCAGAGGCACACCGGGCAGAGGCACATCGGGCTGGACTCCGGGCAGAGGCACAGCGGGCTGGACTCCGGGCAGAGGCACATCGGGCTGGACTCCGGGCAGAGGCACATCGGGCAGAGGCACATCGGGCTGGACTCCGGGCAGAGGCACATCGGCTGGACTCCGGGCAGAGGCACATCGGGCAGGACTCCGGGCAGAGGCACATCGGGCAGGACTCCGGGCAGAGGCACATCGGGCAGGACTCCGGGCAGAGGCACATCGGGCAGGACTCCGGGCAGAGGCACATCGGGCTACCAGGCGAAGCAGCAGGCAGCGGGCCACCAGGCGGAGCGGCAGGCAACGGGCCCCCGGGTGGGGCGACAGGCACCGGGCCCCCGGGCGGGGCGACAGGGGCCCCCGGCGGGGCGACAGGCCTCGGGCCCCGGGTGGGGCGACAGGCCTCGGGCCCCCGGGCGGAGCGGCGGGCGCCGGACCCCCAGGCAGAACTACAGGTCTCGGGCCCTCAGGCGGAGCGGCGGGCGCCGGACCCCCAGATGGAGCGACAGGTCTCGGGCCCTCAGGCGGAGCGGCGGGCGCCGGACCCCCAGATGGAGCGACAGGTCTCGGGCCCTCAGGCGGAGCGGCGGGCGCCGGACCCCCAGATGGAGCGACAAGTCTCGGCCCTCAGGCGGAGCGGCGGGCGCCGGACCCCCAGATGGAGCAACAGGCCTCGGGCCCCCAGGCGGGGCGACAGGCATCGGACCCCAGGCGGGGCGACAGGCATCGGGCTCCCAGGCGGGGCGACAGGCATCGGGCCCCCAGGCGGGGCGACAGGCATCGGGCCCGAGGCGTAGCGGCGGGCGCCGGACCCCCAGATGGAGCGACAGGTCTCGGGCCCTCAGGCGGAGCAACAGGTCTCGGGCCCCCAGACGAAGCGGCGGGCACCGAGTCACCAGGCACGACAGTGGGCACCGAGTCGTCTGGCAAGACTGCGGGCACCGAGTCAACTGGCGGAACAGCGGGCATCAAGTCAACTGGCGGAACTGCGGGCACCGAGTCGTCTGGCAAGACTGCGGGCACCGAGTCGTCTGGCAAGACTGCGGGCATCGAGTCGTCTGGCAAGACTGCGGGCATCTGGCGGAACAGCGGGCACCGAGTCGTCTGGCAAGACTGCGGGCACCGAGTCGTCTGGCAAGACTGCGGGCACCGAGTCGTCTGGCAAGACTGCGGGCACCGAGTCGTCTGGCGGAACAGCGGGCACCGAGTCGTCTGGCACGACAGTGGGCTCCGAGTCAACAGGCACGACAGTGGGCACCGGGTCATCAGGTATCGGATTGTCTGGCTCGACAGCGGGCATCGGGTCACCAGGTATGACAGCGGGCACTGGGTCACCAGGCATCAGGTCATTTGGCTTGCCAGCGGGCACCGCGTCATCTGGCAAGGCAGTGGGCACCGGGTCACCAGGTATGACAGCGGGCTCTGAGTCAAGTGGCACGACAGCGGGCACTGGATCAGGTACCGGATCATCTGGATCAACAGCGGGCATCGAGTCAACTGGCCTAATAGGATCGTCGGGCTGGATCAGTTCATCATGCTGAGTAGCGGCATCAGGCTGAATGCAGGCTTCAGGCTGAGTAGCGGCATCAGCTTGCAGGCTTCAGGCTGAGTAGAGGCTTCAGGCTGAGTAGAGGCTTCAGGCTGAGTAGAGGCTTCAGGCTGAAGTAGAGGCATCAGGCTGAAGAGAGGCATCAGGCTGAAGAGAGGCATCAGGCTGAAGAGAGGCATCAGGCTGAAGAGAGGCATCAGGCTGAAGAGAGGCATCCGGCTGAAGAGAGGCATCCGGCTGAAGAGAGGCATCAGGCTGAAGAGAGTAGAGTAGAGGCATCAGGCTGAGTAGAGGCTTCAGGCTGAATTAGAGGCTTCAGGCTGAGTAGAGGCTTCAGGCCGAGTAGAGCTTCAGGCCGAGTAGAGGCATCAGGCCGAGTAGAGGCATCAGGCCGAGTAGAGGCTTCAGGCCGAGTAGAGGCTTCAGGCTGAAGAGAGGCATCAGGCTGCGTACAGGCATCAGGCTGAGTACAGGCATCAGGCTGAGTACAGGCATCAGGCTGAGTAGAGGCTTCAGGCTGAACCACGGAAGGCAGGTTCACCGGTTTGGATACTGGCAGGATGGTATTGGTTGGAAAGAATTTTCGCTTTTTTCTGGTTTTAACTACTGGAGCACTGCAAGTAAACGCAGGTCTGCAAACAAATGGAGCAGCTGGAGACAGAGAAGAACTGGAGGATGGAACAGGAGAGGGAGCAGTTGCTACAGAGGGCTTTTTTACAGGGTTAAAGGCAGGATAGGTGCAGCGAGTGGGAACAGGGGACTGACATGCGGTAGATAGCCAAGTATACTGGGCTGTAACTGGAGGAGCTGTTGGGAATACAGGAGTAGAGTTAGAAGCAGGACTGGGTTTTTGTAAGCTGACTGAGGCTGGGTGCAACAAATCTGTCCATGTCTGCAGTATGGGTTGAACAAAGCTGAGCTTACACAAAGCCTGTCTGGTCAATGACTGCACTGCGTTTATACAATCTCTCAGTACCTGTGGTGAACATGTGGAATAACGCTCCAGAAAGTAACCCACATCATCCTCTAATAACCACACCAGGGACTCTACCTGGTCTGCACTAAATGGTGGCAAAAATTCATCCCTGCATTCGGGGGTACCAGATGAAACCAACTCTGCACAAACCTCAATCAAAGGCTGCACCTCAGAGAACTCTGTGCCCTGATCTACTAGAACATGAGCGAGCCGTATACATTCTAGCAGTTCATCCCGGGTATACTCCTTCAGAGTGTTTGATAAGCATACTCTCTGTCATCAAACACTAGCAGATATAAATATGCAACCTCATCAAGATCCATCCTTCCCATCAACAAGCCAAGATGGCTTCCCTGTGCAGCCACTTCTGGTCAGGATTGGCCTTGGTGTAATGTCAGGGCTCCCAGGTGTGACCAGAGGTGTGTGGCTGACGCAGGGAAACGCAGACCTCAGATATGTTATAAACAATATAATTTATTAACACTAACAATACAAACATAAACGCAGTGCAATACTAAAACATAATACAGTGCAACCAAACCAAACCAACCACCCACAGATAACAGTACATACAAGCAAGCGTCGTCAGGCAGGCTGGGTCAATATCAATAGGGCAGGTAGGTACAGGGGGAGCAAGCGGAGATTGGTCGGGGTCACAGGCCAGGTTCAGCAGGTAGCAAGCAGCGTAGTACAGAGGGTCAGGCAGAGGGATGGTCAGGGTCACAAGCCAGGGATCAGAACAGGTAGCAAGCAGCGTGGTACAGAGGGTCAGGCAGAGGGATGGTCAAGAGCGAGCCGGGATCAGAGCAGGAGAAGTCAGCAGCGGTTCAGAAACAGGATGCAGGACAGACACAGGATACAGGGCGCAGGACAAACACAACACCAAGGCCGAGTCTGTGGTCTGGCCATCCCTTAAATACCCCAGCATAATCAGTTCCAGGTGTTAGCTGGCTGCAAAGTTGAGTCTCTGATTGCTGGGAGCATCCGCTGGCCAGCCCTGGTACTGCAGATCAAAAGGCAGGTGAGTCCCACCATTGCTGGCCAGTCCATTCCTGACAGTAGATTGCCATAACGGTGGAGCTGGCAGAAGATCCTGCCCCATTGTTATGGAAACCTGTCAATCATTCCTTCAGATAACATCACTTCATGTCAAGAAATACTGCAAGATTTCACCATTAGGCTCTCCAAACAAATGCCGATATCCCAAGAGTCCTAGGGAATCGCCTAATGAACAAAATCGCCTAGGCGGCCACACTGAAAGGGCAGGATAATGATAACAAAAAAAAGTATTTAAAAAAAATAATTAAATAAAAATATCCCATAACAGACTGTTCTTAAGGTGGGCATTGTGTGGCAAGGATCATGAAAAAAAGGGTGAAACTCCGATTTAAGGAAAAATAATCTATTTCTGTTACTGGCTGCATTACAGAACAAAAAAAACCATAAGGATTCAACTGGTCTTCAAAGTTTTAATAAAATTAAGTCTTTGTCTTAGACCATGGAGCCATGCTACTATCAATGATCATATGCTTTGTGTTGCCGTCCTAAATTGATCTTTTTTCCAAATGTGGAGTGTTCTCTACTTTGCAGTGGGGGAGCTGTTTAGAATTATAAATAATGATTTCTATATCCACTAATGTTGGGGGATTTAGGCTATCTGCCCTTGGCATATAGACAATGGGAACATTGACCATTTATTGTAGGTGCTAGAGACACATAAAAAAAATCCAATTTATCAAAAGTTTACCCACAATTTTGGGCATAGTCATCACTGGTAGACAGGGTTTCCGTAAAGATGCAAATGACAAGAAATGCCTAATTTACATCAAATGCCTAATCTACACCCCGTGGTAGTGTCCATTTGCTTATCCCACTAGCGGACAGCTAATAAACTGAAGCAAAGTATTGGATTGTCAGGCAAGGATCTACAGACAGGCAAAGTTTTCCTATAGGCAGTAGGCAAACCCCTATACACAGGAAACCAGAAGAGAAGGAAACGTAGCCAGACTAATCTGGATTTATAAGACAGGAAATTAAGCTCTCAAAAGCCTTCATTAATTCTTTTGCTTAGACATTGTATTTGTCACCTGATGACCCTCAAAGACAAGCTCATAGCATGAAGGAGATGCAGTCCTTACATAAGATAGCAGATGGAGCATTCAGCCCTACAGGAAAAAATGACTGCATGAGAGATGGCTTCCAGCCTTCTCTGCTAGTACCTAAACCTCACAGTTAATTTTGATATACCATATAGCCTGCTAAGAAACTTAGAGACATGAAATAAAGACATCTTTGTCATTGTTTTTAATACCTCCAAAAAGCCCCTAGAAAAATAAATTGTAATAATAGTATGAATAGTGTAATTCGCCATGGGAAAAAAACCAAGCACTAGAGAGCTATTATCAATTGAATTTATAGACAGCTGCCTATTCTAGCTGCTTAAACTATATATCAACTGTACAAAGTGCCTCCACCACCATTACTATTTATTTATTAAAAAATAAAGCTCGAAGGATCCAAAGTCTATTACAGCAATGGATGGATTCAATATTCTGTGCAATGATGTGTTAAAAATGAAAGCGGCATCATTATAACTCAAATATACTATTAATGTATTTTCTTCCTCACAGGAATAAAATGTGAATTACTGT